CATACAGCAGAGGTAAAAGCCAGCCAAGTGGGCAGTTCAAGACAAGTTTCTTGTCGGTAACTACTGTGGACCAGAAAATGTTCTGTATTGTTTGAAACTTGCAGCCTCCATGCTACTTTAAGAAAAGCAACACCCCCTCTCCTGAAAGCCTTATGTAAATGCATTTAACCAATCCTTCTCTAAAACAAAACTATGGTGAGGACCTTAATTCCAATAACAACAACAATCATGAATCAAGGTATATCTGTCTATCTATTTACTGAATATATGTTCACAAAGGCATTGAAAGATATAAAACGAATTTATTTATTTCCAAATATATAAATTTATGGAGGAAGCAAGACACAAATAAATTTGAAAATGCACTTTCAAAACGGAAGAAAACACATCAGAATGTTTCCACCGGTCGTCATGAGACAAGTGTGGTCCTGTGTGTTTTTCTGATCCCGTCCCCCTTCCCCACACTGAAATGCTAAGCATGCAGATGAGTTCTCTCATCAAAGCAGCAATGCATGTTGCTTAAAAGACAAATGATTCAGAGATCACTTCTAAGATCAATGCTTTTTCGATAGGACTTCTTAAATGAAGCAATTGTATAAATCACATTCAAAGGAGAAGACACATGTAGACAAATTCTTTTTTATAAACTGTGTGTATGAACTGTGAGTGCTGTACATATGTAGTGTATGTGCACACATGTACAGCCATGAGTGTACAGGTTGGCCAGGAGAGAATGTTGGGTGTTCTGATTGATCACACTTGGTCTTATTTCCTTGAGACAGAGTATGTCACTGAACCTGAGCTGATGGAGAGCAAGCCCTAGCAATCCTCTATCTTGGCTGCCAACAGCACTTGTGATGATAGGCATTCACGGCTACTTGTAGTTGTTTTACCTACATGCTCGGGATTTGAACTCAGGTCCTCATGTTTGTGCAGCAAACTGCACAGGTTTGTTCAGCAAACCTGCTGAACCATCTCCCTAGTCTCCTCCGGTAAAGCCTTAATGACATCTTTTTAAAAGTTTTATAGATGTCTAGATGTAGACAAGAAAGCAAAAGAAAGCAAGAGGGGGTACTGGAGGAGGGACAAGAGAATGCGCAAATGCTGTGACTATGGGGGACTGGGTCAGAGACAGATGGGCTCAGAGCACAAGGCCACACAAGAAGTCATGACCTCAGGGTCTGGTGGCTTCCTCACTGATGCAAAGGAAGAATCACATTGATTACCAGTAGTGGGAGATGTAACTAACTACACAAAACAACTTTCTAGTAAGCCAATGGCAGAATGCACTCGTAAACACTTTGGAAATGGAACTCAGTAAAAGTTAATTTTCTCCACCAGGATGCCCAGCATCCAATGAGACATGGCCACAACTGCAACATCTTAGGACAAGTTCTCAGCGAATCTCAGATAAAGTGAGGTAACTCCTTGGGGTAGAGGCCTCTCTCCTGTGAATGAGTGATGGAGAGTCGCTATTTGCATATTCCTATCTCATCCATTCAAAGTAGCTTTGCTCCCTTATTCTAAGATGCAGCGGGAGACGACCCCATAAACACAATAGTGAGAAAACAGACAACCTCTCTGATTGGTGTGGCATAAATAACATTTAATAAATGCAAACAGTATGTCAGCTACCAAGATGTGGCCCTCTGGGAACTCCCAACTAGTGTTGTGAGCACAGGAGCCAATGAGAACCAAAGATATCTGGAGTATTTATTCATTTTGGTCTGGGTATCAGATTCAGATGAGGTCACTGCCTTGCTGCACTGGTGACTGGAAAGGAAGAGAAACAGGATGCTCTTTGACTGAATACTGGTAAAGATGAGACACCCCGACTAGACTGCTCTTTTCCCACCCAAGCCCCTCTCTCTGCACTCACTCTCAATTTCCATGCTAATTAAAACTGTGAACTCTACCCTGTGGGAAAATGAAGGACAGATGCTTAGGCTGGCTGCTAGGGAATAGTATGCATAAGTAGACATAGCTTGTGACAAGATGATGTTGAAATAAGTTTGAAACAGTAAATAGCACACTTAGCATTGACAGGGCTGTAAACACACACACACACACACACACACACACACACACACACACACACACACAC